CAACAGCATGTGACTTTTCACGAGAACCACAAATGTTTGATATAGAAGAATCCAGAAATTAGAGGTCTCCAGCCCAAAGGATTGTTTATTCAGTTCTAGCCAGAATTCTAGAAAACACATCACAGTTGAATAGGAAGGTAATTTAGGGACTTCGAAAAGGTATATCTCCTCCATTTGGGTTTTGGATTAATTCCTTTGTCTGTTCAGTAAGCTGGTCAGTGCTATTAGATCCTTAGCAATTTTGTGAAAGCTGAAAACACATACGTAACCATCTTACCATCAATAACCTGCATATTATTGTGTGCTTTATCTTTCTTTCATTCAAAAGAAAGAAACAAAAGCAAAAAAAAAAAAAGCAAGCCTCTTGTTTCTTATTTCCTACATAGCATAGTTTCTTTTGGAATTTTAGATTTTCTAAGAGTGCCTTGCATTAGTTTAGAATTTTGATTACTTATTTGTGATATTTTATCTATATTGGCATTGCATCCTTTTACTTTCATCCCATTATCCTTTCATTAATACCATATCATCATGCTTACCAATGCTGAACATTTTGCTAAGGTAGAAGCCTTGTCCAAGAGCCAAGAAGCCTTGACCAAAGCATTGTCAGAGTTAGATCGAAAAGGACAAAGAGAGAGAGAGAAGAAATAAACACAACAGTTTGGTGGGTGTGTCACTTAGTGACCATTGCCACCCTAAGAGTAATATTTATATTAAAGAAAGTAAAAGGAAAAATCTGCCCTTAGTGTACAAAAGATAGTGTACAAATAAAATAGATGTACAAAAGAAGTAAAAGTACAAAAATAGCCCTATGACTAGTTCTTCTCACTGTCTCTACACTCTCCCTTAAACTGATGCCTAGGAATGAGCATCAGTTTGTCCATGAGAATTAAGTGTCAGGCCTGAGTCGTTGCTTTTGTCAATAGGTTTGCCAGTTGGAGACTGGAGGAGACATGAGGAAGAGAAATGGTACCCTCAAGAAGGAGGTCGTGGATGAAGTGGTAATTGGTAATCAACTTCTATATGTTTGGTGTGCTCATGGAAGACGGGGTTGGAGGCAATTTTGATTGCACTAACATTGTTTGCATAGAGAGGAACTGATGGTGATGGCTCATTAAGGATGTCAAGTAGGAGAGCTCGGAGCCATATAATTTCACTGCACATTGAGGACATTGCTTTGTATTCAACTTCAATGGAAGATTTTGATACAGTAGGTTGTTTCTTGCACTTCCATGAAATAAGAGAGTTGCCTAAGAATACACACTAGCCAATAGTGGATCGTCGGGTGTTAGGGCATCCAGCCCAATCAACATTCACATAGGCAGTAAGGCTAATGGGGGATGAAGAGGAGAAGAATATTCCATGTGATAAAGTTCCCTGCACATATCTAATAATCTGATGAACTTCAAATAAATGTGGTTGTCTTGGGGAAGACACAAACTGGCTCACCAGTTGGATTGTATATGATATATCTGACCGAGTCTTGGTGAGATAGATTAGACTACCCACTAGTTGATGATAAATAGTAGGGTCTTTAAGGGGAGAATCATCATCCTTACTATGTTTTAGATTCAGTTCCAATGGAGTTTCCACAATCTTGGAATCACTGAGATTGGCTAGTTTAACAAGATCAATAGCATTCTGTTGGTTAACAAAATAGCCCCGAAAATAGTAGGGTCTTTATGGCTTACTTCAAGCTCCAGAAAATAAGTCAAACAACCCATGTCCTTCATCTTAAAGGATTCACTAGTAATCGTTGCAAGTCAGCAGCTCCTACATCATCCCCTATAATGAGTATATCATCGACATAATGAAGTAAGATTGTCATTCCCTGCTTCCTCTGTAAGGTGAATAGAGAATGGCCTAAAGAACTCTAAATAAAACCAACATCAGTGATAATGGATTTGAATTTCTGAAACCATGCTCTAGGAGCTTGTTTCAGGCCATAGAGGGACTTCTTCAGGCGACAAACAAGCTGTTGGTCCGTGCAATATTCAGGAGGGGACTTCATATACACTATCTTCTTCAACTCCCCATGGAGGAATGCATTCTTTACATCCATCTGATGAATTTTTCACTGTTTGGCTGTAGATATAGCCATCAAAAGTCATACAATGGTCATTTTTGCTACTAAAGCAAAAGTTTCCTCATAATCTATTCCATATTCCTGTTTATAGCCTTGTGCAACCAGCCTAGCCTTGTATTTGTGTAGGCTA